ATCCTGTATTTCTGTGGCCAGAGCAGCAGAATAACTGGATGTGTGTTCAATAGCTTGGACTGCCTTGGGAGCAGGCATCAGAAGTACCGACAGCTGGAAAATGGGAGCACAGAGGCACAGAGAACTAAAAAAATACAGCCGAAAAAATGAACCTGCCAGACTGGGAAAGTGGCAGGAGAAGAAAGGGTTTTGTCGATTCATATGAATAAGAGAGGAAAAAAAGGCCTTTTCTGAAATGGGAGTATTAGGGTAGGTACAGGGTGTTGCGGAAGAAAATAAACGGCAACACCAACTATGGCACAAGCATCTTATTTCTGCAGGAAAAGGGAAGAATATTGAGACTACTGAAATCATAGGACCAGCCAGCTAAATTTCTCATATTCGTGAACCTGCCTTGGTGTTCTTTGTATACCACAGAACAGTATTTGCTGCAGTTATTTTTCTCTATTTTTTTAAATTATAATTTCTACAGAATTAATGTAATTGAGAATATCAAGACAATAATTTCCGACTGAATAAAACAAAAGGTGGCATTAGGATAAAATGTCCCTTCTCGCTGTCCATGTGCTATTAGCACTAGATTCACCAAAAAAAAAGTAAAAATTAAAAATTATTTAGGCTGAAAAGTACTGTGCAACACTCAAGGTTGTTAAGAAAAGCTAGCATGGCACAGAAAGACATGAAAAAAATAAGCCCCTGAACACTATATACCTACATTACACACTCACTTTGTACTGCTAGAAAGGGACATTTTCATCAGCTGGCACACAGCTATCAGCACACACACTAACAGCCCTGAAAACATGCTGAAGCAACCTGAGGGTTTGCACTCATCATTTTATGATGAATATTTCCTGCCACAAAAGTACAAGTATCTCTGCATGCCACCTGCTTGTCTTTCTGTGATGTGGGTATCGCTTTTTCACGCAGGTTACAAGGGGGCTGCACAGTCCTGAACAATAGCTTTGATGGTAAGTCTTCATCAACGGGGATGAACACTGAAAGACTGGGGATATTATTCAGCACACCTGCGTCTTTGTTTTATTAGCAACCGATCAGTAAGGACAGTGACAGAAAGGGAAGCAAAATTAACTTCCAAATTGTTGGGAAAGCTGACCTTCAAGCAAGCAAAGGGTAACCGGTGTTGCTTGCTATTGGTTTGAAGCGGTTAAAAATAAGCCCCCAGGCAGCAGGGGAAGGTGTTTGATCGTTAGTAATCATTTTTTTCAGACTCGAGTGTGTGGTGTGGGCTTTCAATATGAGAACGTGCCTCAGCTAGTACCTTTTCTGCGTGATCTCTTTGTTAGTTTAGTGGTTTTACTTGGAATATGTATTACAAACATAAACCCTATGACTTCCAAAATCACTATGGTCTGAGTGTCAGATATTGTCATGTAAAATGGTAGTCATTCTAAAATGCTAGTTCCTGCTTCTGAAAGTCCGTCAGATTTTCAGCCTTAAGTCTTGGCTTTTATTCTGCTATGTCTTCTCTGTTGGTCATAGAGATCTGAAGGGATATCTCCCTTCTCCAAAGAGATCTTTCAGAATCAAGACAATAAATATTTTCATTAGGACTCGGGGAAGCAAGTAACTCTCAAAATTATAATTTTCTGTAAAAGACAGAGGATTGAACCCCCCAGAAGACAAAGCACTGAACCCCACCTGGGCTGTGGGACAGTTTGGAAGGCTTTTATTTCCCAACTGTGTGTTCCCAGTTTCAAAACCACAAGCTATTCTACTATCCTGCAGCAGCAAAAGCTCTGCCACCACAGGTCTCATCAGAATTATACATTCTTTTAAATAGGTTCCCTATCAACACATCGGTAGTTTTGAGAACTCTTCCTTTCCTGACCTCTCCCTCTGCTGCTATACAACATGAAAGCTCTTCGGTGCGCTTGTGCACTGTTTTCAAACTTTCAGTGTAAGAATTTGTCCAAAGTATCTTTTCACTTCTAACAGAAAAAAAGAGCTCGTTGCCAACATGACAGGCACCACTAAGTTGCTTCAATTCCTCTCCTCTACCTCTGCCAGCTTCTCAGTCATCCTTGCACAAATGAACGTTGACTTTTTTTTTTTGACCCTTCCTATAACGGAGGGTAGATCAGTGGTTTCTACTTTCACCTCTTCCCTCAGATTTGCACCATTTTTCCCCAGTCCTCTTCAACAGCT